AGGCACATACACTGAGTGATACACACACCTCTCAGTGTACAGTGTTGTACGTCACCTCGCTCATCTGCCTCATGTATCAGCTTTACTACGTCGCTAACACACTGTGTTTAGCAGATCGTACAGCATGATTTGAAAATCTCAGTAGCGTGAGCCTTCTCCTGTTCTGAAATTTGAAAGCAAGAATTTTATGCTTTAAGATACGTCTCTTCTCTCTCTCTCTCTCTCTCTCTCTCTCTCTCTCTCTCTCTCTCTCTCTCTCTCTCTCTCTCTCTCTCTCCTCTCTCTCTCTCCTCTCTCTCTCTCTCTCTCTCTTCTCTCTCTCCTCTCTCTCTCTCTCTCCTCTTCTCTTTTTACACAGGGTCTGACAAGGTTAGGTTAAGGATCCCTAGCTTTATTGACAAGCTATTTACATGTTAACGATTCCTAACTTTGTAGACAAGCTGAGAGCTGTTACCTACATCAGCTCATTTGAAAGCATTTTTATTGTTATGAAATATATAAGTAGGGAACAGGATGAAGTTGGAGCCATCTCTGGGCCAGCATTTTCATCTGATCAACTGACTTTATCTCGTTCACATCATAATGTTGTACGAATGTGTTCCATACTCGAGTCATCCTGGGGATAAATGATCTAAGATGAAGTGATGTTCTGGAGAAGGGTACAGCCAGAGTGAAGTTGCTGCTTTCTGCCCGTCTTGTGGTATAGAAGCTTGCTTCACGCTGTCATCGAAGTGGATCCAAGTGTAGTACTTTGACAACATTGGCCTTGTACATAACAGTAAGGCCACCCACATCCCTCCTGTGTTGAAGGCTCTGCTGAAATGACAGATCTATCCAGCATTGGTCCAGGCGAGAGATGAGACGTCTTGCTCTGTTCTCTACTCTGCCAAGCAGTCGCAGATGAGAAGGGGGGCAGGCGAACCAAGAAAGTGGAGCATACTCAAGGTTTCGAGCGTACTTTTGCCTCGTACAAGATATTGCAGCCCCTGCTGTCAAGCAGATGCGAGATACGGCGAAGTTCTGTTAGCTTCCTGGCTGCCTTGTTTGCCAGATTTACAACGTGGTTTTTCATGGTCAGTTTGGAGTCAAATTTCACCCCAAGGATATCAACTTCTTCCCCAGGTGCCAACACCCTCCCATTCATCCTTACTACTGCACCGGTATTACCATCATGGTGCCTAGAGATCATCATCATTTGTGTTTTCTCAGGTGCAAATGTTACTTCCCATATATTTCCCCAAGCTGATATAGCTCTTAGCTGGTGATTGATGTAGCTTAGAGCAACTGGCATTTCTTCTCTTGGATAAGTGAATGTCAGTATACAGTCGTCTGCATATTCATGGGATTCTGGGATGAGATGAAAAAGGTCATTGAAGTAGACATTCCATAACAATGGTCCCAGAACACTTCCTTGTGGAACACTTGCCCCAATAGGATGTCTTGCTGATTCTGTTCCATTGAGAACTACCCTTAGAGATCTACCATGAAGGTAATCACTGAGGAGACATAGCGTAGAGCCTGCAATTCCCAGAGCTTGCAATTTTGCTAAGAGGGCCTGGTGCTACACCCGGTCGAAAGCACCAGCAATGTCCAGTGCTACCACACAACTAGCTTTGGATTCATCCAGTGACTGGTGCCACTTAGTGGAGAGGTTTAACAACAGATCAGCAGAGAGTAACCTTTCCTGAAGCCATATTGACGGTCACAAAGTAGTGAGCGGTAGTCAAAAAACTCTGTCATTTGTCTTGAGATTATTGTCTCATGGAGCTTGCCAGTGATTGACAGGAGTGACACTGGTCTGTAGTTGCTGATTTCTGCTCTGCTCTTTTTTTGTGATCAGGGACTACATTTGCCTCTTTCCACAGAGAAGGCCATTTACACTGTACTAGGCAGTGCTGAAAGATGCGAGTTAGAGGTGCTGCTAGCTGGTCTGCACATCTTCTCAGCAATCTTGGGCTCAACTTGTCTAGGCCCACAGCCTTTTCTTGGTCAAGCGATTTAAGAAGGAAATGCAACCTCTTCCTGCCTTATTGTTACCACTGACAGTTTTGACACAGTTCTTGCAGCTAGCCAAGGAGGGTCCCTGCTAGATCAGGAACTTGCATTTTGGTAGCAAAGTGTTCGGCAAAGAGGTCCGCCTTCTCTTGACTACTAGTAAAGGTGGTCCCATCCTGTCGATTTAGAGGTGGAATGAGTCCATCAGGCAGATAACCTTCTCTGTCCTTGACCAGGGACCACCAGGTTTTGGAGCCTACCCTACCTGATGCTAACTTTCTTTTTGTGTCCATCTCCCATTTAGCGATGGCCACTTTTGAAAGTCACCCATATGTCTACAAGTTTGCCTGTGCAAGTTCCTGTTATAGGTGGAAGGATGTCTCTTATATCTTCGCCATGCCTTGTACTTAGCAGTAGCAGCCTCTCTACAACGAAAGCCAAACCAAGGCTGATCTGTAGGCTTCGTCACTCTCTCTCTCTCTCTCTCTCTCTCTCTCTCTCTCTCTCTCTCTCTCTCTCTCTCTAACTTTAATGACATTAGTACGACTTCGTGTTAAAAAGTGAGGATAATTTTTAAAGCTGTTAAAACAGCGAGAGTTTCACGACATTATTAAACTACAACAGTTATGTTGTTGAAGCATCATAATACAACGTAATATGTTGTGGGTCGGTGTATATAATGTAATAATGTTGTAGGTTGATGTATACAATGAAATTATATTGTGGGCTGGTGTATAAAACTCAGATATATTGTTCCTTGATTGAGATCAATTTCATTATGATGTAAATTGGTTTAGAGAGTTTAATTTTGTTGAAGCAGGGAGAGTGTTGGAAGGCGTAGCGTGTAGGTAGCTGGTTTAATCAGTTACCACCATATAAATTGTTTTCCTGTGGCACTGGCAGCCATCACAACCCGCCCACCTTGTTCCCGGAAGCACTCACTCGGTCTTGGGACCCTCATCTTCCACTCATTACGATTTTAACAAAGCCTGTAAAGCGTTGTATGAGAGAAGGAAGCTAGAGCCATAAGATGGACTGGTAGTGGTGAGATTTAGATTAGATTCTGCAGGCTAAGTGGCAAATTTAGTGTGCATCTAATATCCATCCTGAGGACGGTAGCGCAAGAACATATGGATACATAAAAGGCTAAGCCCCAAAAGGGTACGTGTGGATTTATATCTACAGTTTCTTATCTGTTTTAAGGAAATTTAATGATGTTTGCTTAATATGTCTGGTATTTTATTTTTATAAATAAGATAGGCAAGGTTTTGGCTGTAAAAGAGCGTAGATGTTGTACCTGATCTGATATTGTACCCATTACCTGAACGTAGGGAGGGAAGCGCTGAAGTCGTAGGAAAGGACAAATCCAATTCCTTAATCAAGAGTCCTTCACCAGCATCACTGATAAGAGTACTAGTGTGGCATGCTAGAGTACAAGTGTGCGTGCTAGAGTACAAGTGTGGCATGCTAGAGTACAAGTGTGCATGCTAGAGTACAAGTGTGGCATGCTAGAGTACAAGTGTGCATGCTAGAGTACAAGTGTGGCATGCTATTGTAAAGTGTGTATGCTAGAGTACAAGTGTGCATGCTAGAGTACAAGTGTGGCATGCTAAAGTACAAGTGTGTATGCTAGAGTACAAGTGTGCATGCTATTGTAAAGTGTGCATGCTAGAGTACAAGCGTGGCGTGCTAGAGTACAAATATGGAATGCTAGAGTACGTTACATTTTATTCGACGTATGCCACACCCATATAAAGCATGCCCTCCCGACCAGCGAAACAGCTGCTTCGAGCGCAACAGGCTGGGAAGGGGGCTCCCGCCTGCTATGCTAAGAGCATAGCAGGCAGGAGCCTGCTAGCCTGCTAGCACCTCAGTTCAGCTCAGCCAATCACAAGACAGCCCACCAGAGTTGTGAAGCGATATCTGGGACTGGTGAAGCATCATTGGTAGGCTTACCTCAAGTCTGGCCGCTAACAGTTCTCACTGTATCTCTTGCTTGCAATCTTATTTTGTACGTAAGAGTATATACATTGTGCATATACATATATTTGGTGAAGCAAATATATTAAGTATTTATTTTTCACGCAGTTACGAGCAGGTGCGCAGGCCACAAGACTACACTTGGGTTCTTAATAACAGAACGCTTGAAATCTGGTTAAAATCCCACTCATGCTGGTACTCGGGAAAAGATTAATTACCAGTCGAGAAAGTTGCTGCCAGCTTCATCTTCACATGTGAAAAGACACTGGCCAGGAGCCTGAGCGCAGTACTCACCTAGTTGTGGTTGCAGGGGTCGAGTCACAGCTCGTTGCGCGGTTTCGCTCATGCTCTCCAGTGGCTAGAAATTAGAAATAAGTGCAACACCTTATTACCTTCATTTGAATTCGTCTCGCCAATCAATGACTTTTATTTCTGTGGCTTTTTGAACTGAAGAAAGCTGCTGGTTGGTCAAACGTCATCAAATGAAGATAACCAGGTGTTACACCTGTGTCTAATTCCTCATCCTGTCGGTTCTGTAGACCCTGAAAATTATAATTTACCTAACAGTTGATCTCTTGTGAGAGAACTACACAGGTGTTCAGCAGTTCCAGCCTTCAACTGTCTTGTCTTCCCAGAGTACTGACATTTACATCTCATACACATATATTTATAATACACTAGACGACTACTACATCAGTGTACGTGTATGAGGAAAGTAGAGTTTTCCTTGTTCAATGTGTTATTGGTATTATATTTGTGGAGAAGAGCTAATTCTGTGAGATATACATAGATCTCACTGAAAGAGGGAGAGGTTTCAATTCCTCGTATAAAGTAATCAAGGCAATTTCCCCTCTGTTGAATGATGTTTAATTTATTGTCATTTAGCAGGCTCTTCTTCCGACTGTGTAACTATCATACAGAAATGTATTAGCAGCACACTGTTCATGTATCTAATTTTGTTAAATTCAATATATTATACTTAAGTTTCTAAATATATAAATTCTTTTTGTGTGTTGGCAGATTGCTGCATGAAGCACCCCGAGGAGTGCGAGGGAAGGTTGTGAACACACGTGCCTAAACACACAACCAGCGGCTGTTAGAGGTCATCAAAATGAGCGATAACGAACATCGCATTCGTTTGGTTCTCCTGGGCGGCGCTGGCGTCGGTAAGAGTTCCATCATCAGCCGCTTCCTCTACAACAAATACTCCGACAAGTACAAGAGTACCGTCGAGGACCTCTACAACCGGGACTACGAGTTCGGCCGCATCACTCTCAAAGTGGACATCCTGGACACGGCCGGGGACTTCCAGTTTCCAGCGATGAGGCGACTTTCCATCGCCAATGCTCACGCCTTCCTCATTGTGTACTCTATTAGTCACAGCCAGTCCTTCGACACCGTCCGTCAGTGTATTGAAGAGATCAAGGAGCAGCGCTCAGACTTCGAAGAGATTCCTATCGTCATTGCCGGCAACAAGATGGATTTGGAGGTTGAGCGTCAGGTCTTCAAGGAGGACGTAACTGAGTGGATCTACAGAGAACTGCAAAGATTTAGGTAAGGTTGTGAGCAACTTACAGGATTAATTCACACGGGAGTTAAGTCTGACGTGTGTGGGCAAGTGATGAGAGTTAGTGCAAGTGTGAGACAGGGTGAGAGGTACAGGAAGAGTGCTACTGTCTGGCATGATCAAGAGAGAGAGAGAGAGAGGTTACAGAGAAGACATAGAGATTGTTTAAATGAGAATTCAGTGGGATGGAGATATTCACGTGTACAGTGAAAAATGTGGTTGGTGTATGAGAACAAACTGTTCTTATGTAGATATAGGCTGATGTGTAAGAGTTTGTGTTTTGTTAAAGTGCATAACGGTATCGTGAGAAGTTCTTTGAAACAAACTACTTTGTCTTAGGTACCTTTCTTATCTATCCCATATTCTGTCAAAAACTGGTCGTATTTAACGAATCTTTTAAATTAGAATAAAAAAAAGAGGTACCGTTACTAAATTTCACTCTCTCAAACCAAGCCATGAATATATATATATTTTCTTAATACTCTCCGAGGAGAACCCAATTAGGCACCAAAATTTTTGTCTCTGAGAGATCTTGCAGCTAATTACGAGGTTTACCATGTATCCTACGAGGAAGATAAAGTCTCAGAAAAAGCTAAGGCACACACATACTTTTAATATAAGCAGTAAGAATAGGGATTATAAAATAATGTTTAAGACACAAATGAGAAAGTAAAATGATTCTCAAAAGTCTTTTCTTTTGTTAATTTATATATACTAATATATATATATATATATATATATATATATATATATATATATATATATAAAATATATAATATATATATATATATATATATATATATAAAAATATATAAATATATATATATATATATATATATATATATTAATATATAATTATTTTAATATATTATAAAAAATATTTTATGCAATAATTTCAGCAAAATCATTCTGAACCTAACGAAAAAAATATATTTCACTGTGTTTGTTTAGTATTAAATTACTGAAAGTAAATCTAAAATATATTTAGTTAGGTTAGGCTAAAATAAATTGTTCATGTTATAATAAGGTTAGGTAAGTTTTCTAAGTTTCTTTTGGTGCAAAATTAAATTTTTTTACATTATCATAAATGAAAAAAATATATATTTAAACGTATAAGAGAAAATTTTAGAAAGGACTTAATTTTAAAATGAGTTTATTGCTAATTTGACCAGTTATTTAACATATTCGGCAACGACAATATATAATATATATATATATATATAATATATATATATATATATATATATATATATATAATATATATATATATATATATCAATAACAACATTGCAGTAGCCAAGGATTCGAACCCATGTTGTACTGGCCTGCCTCATGGTAAGCGAGAACCACATGACACTTTAAACCACAGGATCACCCAACCCTACAAGAATGGCGCAGCCAGCACACAGCTAACTGTTGGTCCGCATACGGAGGTGTGGGAGCTTCTAAGCTAATTTCGTTCTCATCCCTGTTTGGTGTACTAGCCTCACGAGCAGCATTTATATATTACTGTAACCACGGACGAGTGGTATTGATCAATAACAACACTGCTCTAGCCAAGGATTCGAACCTGTGGTTTAAAGCTTCATGAGGTTCTCTCCTACCATGAGGCAGTGCAACATGGGTTCGAATTCTTGGCTGGCCAGCGTAGTGTTGTTATTGATCAATACCACTCGTTCGTGGTTACAATAATATATATATATATATAATATATATATATATATATATATATATATATATATATATATATATATATATATATATATATATATATATATTAAATGCAATAAGAATCCAGTAAAATAGGTTCAGATATGTTGATGATATATTTTGTGTCTTATGTCCCAAGAATGTAGAATATACACCATTCCCTTGGCAAATTAAATAGCTTAGCCATCTAAAACTTTACTGTTAGATTTGAAAAATAAACTCATTGACCTTTTTAGATGTATTTAAATTTTAGGAATAATGAACTCAAATTTAAAATTTACAGAAAACCTACAAATAACTGTTCCTATGTACACTATTATTCTTCCCATCAAGATAGAGTTAAACTGTCTGTTTTCTCATCAATATTTTTGAGAGCTTTACGTATTTGTAGTCCAGAGTTCATAGATGAGGAAATATCCAAAATTTATGAAATAGCTAATGAGTTGAAATACCCAAGAAACGTAATTGATAAATCTTTTAAAATTGCTAGAAATACTTTTTACAATCCAAAAAGGGACAACCAGCCTTATTCAACTAAAAATATGTTGGTTCTCCCTTACCATGAAAACTTGGTTGATATGCCTTCTCTTCTTAAGACTTTTAATATCAAAGTTGTATTTAAAAATCTTGATACAGTAAAAAAACTTTTGATAAAGAATTCCCCCCAAAATGCTGACGGATGTGTCTATAAGATTCCTTGTAAAATTTGCGATAAAGTTTATTACTGTCAAACTGGTAAAAGTCTCGAACTTAGATTAAAACAACATAAATATAGCATTAGAACTGGACAAGATTCCAATGCTCTATTTATTCATGTGAGAGATTTTAACCATCCAATTGATTTTCAAAAAGTTGAGAAAGTTGTATCAAGCAAGTCCATGGTCGACAGGAATATAATTGAATCTTGTTTCATAAAAAGCAGTTTTGACAATAATATGAATATTTCCTTTGGTTTATATAAATTAGATCCATTTATAATTAATAGAGTTTGGGAAGAATTTAATAGTACATTGGACAAATAATAAATTTTAAAATTCTTAATTTTTGGGTAGAATAGTTTGTTCGTGGGTTGTGTGAGGGACCTGTCTAGTTGGGTCAGCGGGCCTGCTGCAGTGTTCCCTTTCTTATGAGTCGCGCGTCAGATGTTGCTTTGTTGTGGGATGTGATAGTGAAATGTGGTCTAGACCCTTTATATGCCTTCCTTTGATGCATTATTTTTATTGTTCTTTGATAATGTGAGTAGTCACGGCAGTGCTTGGAATTTCTCTATTCTTTCACAGTGGGTTCTTCTACTCTCACAAATTAGTTTATATCATAAGCGTTGAGAATGACGACTACTCGTCTGCATTTGTATGTCATTGTAATTCTATGTAACCATCGAATATAGAACACCAAAATCACCGCTTAAGAGCATACAGCATCCTGAACCAGGGGTTTTCTCAGCCAGTGCACTGACGATATGGTGGCAACTGTATCCACCCCGGCCCCGCCCACCCAAGCCCCGCCCACCTGCTTCAATATGACCACCCATTCTCGATCCCACTATGTGCTTATCCCACCAAAGTATCCACACTCGCGCTAGTGAAGGAATATTGATGTGCCATGTAGCTGGGTCGCTTGCTACACAGCAGTGTACCGATGCACTGCTTTGGACATGTGGAGGAACAGACTGACTGATGTTGTAGTGGCCAAGCTTAGGCTTCGTTACAAGTACTTCTGTCTGTTAGCAGACACACAGATGATGATCAAACCAAAATGCAAAGTATGTGTGTGGCCAACTCTATGGTCACTATCTTGAACACTATGTGTTAATTGTCCACTTATTGAGGAATATAGAAATACACAGTATAATAACCTATGTGACACGCAAGATATCTTATTAATGAAAATAAGATACCGGATATATTTGGCAAATTTCCTAACTTTGCTAAGTGAACTGCAGACATAAATGGAGATGTACTCCTGTTATCCATTTTGGAGGCCTAGTTCCTAGGCCTTTTATCCATATGCTCTTGCGGTACCATCCACAGGGTGGATATGGAGTACACAGCGAAATGTAAATCATAAAGAAGCGTGTTATGCCAAGCACGACCGCCGTCTGCAGAGACTTGCAGACAGAAGATAAGATTTGTTCGGATTTTTAACCCCGGAAGGTTAGCCACCCTGGATAGCCCAAGAATGTCAGTACGTTATCCGGGACGCCCTGTTTCCTTTGTGGTCCTTCAATCTTGTCACCCAGGATACGACCCACACCAGATACTAACACCCACGTACCTACTTATTGCTAGGTCAACAGGGACAGCAAGTGTAAGGAAACATGCCCAATGTTTCTACCTTTGCCAGGGATTGAACCCCGGACATCCAGTGTGGGAAGCGAGAGCGTTGTCAACCGAGCCATGCAAGAATGCAGGAAGACCTTCAGTCAGTCTCTCAACTTATCACCTGTCCAACACTTGAGAACGAAGCCCTCAGCTTGGTGTTACAGTTTTCAATATCATATTATTAATGGTATACAATAACAACAAATTGATAACCAAGACACATTTGCAACAACTGGGCATCTTGATGGCCGAAGTATTTCACATTCACATCAGGTTTCTTCAGTTGAAAACAACACAGGAAGTAGTAGTTCTGACGTGATCAGTCCATCACCCTTGGTGACTGCCATTGCACACTGATTTCATCACCCGTAATCACAGGCATATGAACTCTGGGTTTATAAAAGGCTACCACAGGAAATCTTCACCTTATCCTAGCAGAAAACATCGACACCCTCCTTCTCCAGGTGTTGCATCACAGGAGACATCGAGACCCTCCTTCTCCAGGTGTTGCATCACAGGAGACATCGAGACCCTCCTTCTCCAGGTGTTGCATCACAGGAGACATCGAGACCCTCCTTCTCCAGGTGTTGCATCACAGGAGACATCGAGACCCTCCTTCTCCAGTGTCATACAGGAGCTCGACACCTCCTTCTCCAGTGTTGCATCACAGGAGACATCGAGACCCTCCTTCTCCAGGTGTTGCATCACAGGAGACATCGAGACCCTCCTTCTCCAGGTGTTGCATCACAGGAGACATCGACACCCTCCTCCAAGTGTTACATCGATGCCTTCAAGTCCCTGGCCAAGAAAACCAACTTATAGTGCCTTTACTGCTGGGTTTGGCCAGGGCTCTTTACCTACTTCTGTAGCCTTTTCCTCTCCCCCCACCTACTCTTCACCTATCCTCACTTCCCTCTTACTTACCTGTGACTTCTTCTAGTTCTAATTCTAGCATG